TTACATATCATTTATTATTTTAGTTGTCTCATCTTTGTCAGTTTAAAATTCTTTCCAATATATTAGTTAATTCTTGTTCTACTTTGGAAAAAGAAATAATTAGTAATCTCTCCTCTCTTCCGAAAGAAAGTGTAGAACAGCATTAGTCTGCATTTTTTAAATATGGTAAACTCTCTAAATTTTGAACGTAGATGTCACTAAAGTCACTTTTAGTATTTCATTTCTGAGGACAGAATGAGATACCTATAATCACCATCTTCTTAAAACAAGGCAATGAGGTGGATCCATTTGTTTAACTAGCCCATTTTAATTTGCAGACTTGCAATCCATTCCACTATAATTCTGCCACTGATGTACTTTGTAATAGTGAGGAAAAATCCTTTACGGTTTGCCATGGGAATGGCTCAGGCACTTCTGACGGCTCTCATGATTTCTTCCAGGTAAATAAAAGAAACATTTATTTTCCGTAATGTTAATAGTAGTAATTGATTGTGCTCTGATTTCATTGCTACTTTGTTATATACCCTGATTTCACCTGGACAATTCTAAATCCCCTGTAGGTTGAAATACGACTTTCATCATTATTTCTGTAGTACCCAAAGGGCAATATAAATTGCACTGTCCTTATACCAAACAAGAGTCTGACCCTCCCAGGAGGAGACAGTTCTTTGCATTTCAGTTCGTTAGTCAGAGACTTGATAGAGTTTAAGCTGTTGCACTGTTTCTGTGACTACATGCATCATGACAATTTTACTGTGTAATTTTGAGGATAACTAAGACTTAGTTATTTCTTTCCATGATTAGAAGAGATAACAAAAGTTACTTTGCTTTAAAAGGCAACTTTCACTTTCATGGTGCAGCCTTCCTGCCTGCCTTAGAACTTTCTTTGAATCTTAGGGCAGATCGGGATCTGAGGAAAAGGAACTATAAGAGAAACTATACGCTGTTGCCTGCACTTACTTTGTGTGTTTATCTGTGTGCCAGTTCAGCAACTTTGCCTATCACCTTCCGTTGTGTGGAAGAAAAAAATTTCATCGACAAAAGAATTACCAGGTTTGTTCTTCCAATTGGAGCTACCATCAACATGGACGGCACAGCTCTTTACGAAGCAGTAGCAGCTATATTTATTGCACAGCTGAATGACTTAGCACTGGATATTGGTAAAATAATTACCATTAGGTAAGTCTAAAACTATCACATTCATTTTGTTGGAGATGTTAAAAAATGAATTAAAAAATAAATGACACTTTGAATTAACTTTGGATACCCCTTGGGAAAGCTGAAACTATCATTGACAACACAGCAAATAACAGAAAAATTCTCACTTCTTGGTCTAAGACCTTGCCTGCGCAGCCTGATGAGGAGGTGAGATGGGCTAGGACATGCACTTGCTATACAGCATTTTTCAGGAAGTTGCCATTGTTCTCTCACCACAATCACTTCCAAACACAACTTGACCTATACCTCTCCTCTATCCAGTTTACTTGTTACTCATGCATTGCATGTTATTCTGCAGTGTAACCATAACAGTATCTATGCATGACTTGTCCCATAAACTTGTCACCAGACTTTGAGTAGATACTATTCAGGAGGAAAACTGGAACATTTGGGCTCCTTTCTTGCAGTGAAATAAGCTTGTTTGTGTCAGAAAATAGAGTTTCTGTGAGCAACATGTATTCCAAATGCCTTTTCTGTGCTTTATTTGGAATTTAGTGTCACAGCGACAGCAGCCAGCATCGGGGCTGCAGGCGTCCCCCAAGCCGGACTTGTCACCATGGTTATTGTACTGAGTGCTGTTGGCCTGCCCGCCGAAGATGTTACTCTGATCATTGCAGTTGACTGGCTTCTGTAAGTTTAAGGCACTTTATTTAATTATTTTTCCTTTTTTTTAATGTTTACATAAGTTGCGTGGAAACATGTGGGTCTGAGAAAGAAAGCAACAAAGTCATTTAAGACTGTTGCAGGAACTGGACAAAGATTCTTCTTACGGCCGATCTTGTTCAGTATAGAGTTAGTGCAGTAGTGTCTTTAATTCTGAGAGAAGTCCTACCAGTTGGGATGGCAGTGAATAACCTTACATCCACAGGTGCTATCAGCCCCAAAGTTATGGCTACAGCATTCATAAATCATGAGCATAATACTCAGGAAAGACAAATTTGACAATACCAAGGAGTGCTTCTGGAGCATCAGCTACCACCAGGTTGTGTTAAATTCGTACACCGTTCATGAAAATCGAATGCAGCCACAAGCAGAACATCTCAGCAGATTTCCACAAAGCACATAAAATCTGTTCACTGGTGAAGAGGTACTGGAGCATAACAGGAACTAAGCAAAGCTGGTCCTCGACTCCACATGCACACACGTGACAGGCTGTACATGGGTCTGTGCTGCCAGCGTTACTTTGCTAGAGCAGTTCTTTACTGAGAGTTTTTTTAAAGTCTCGGCTACCTGATCAACAAGCACACACATGCAAACTCAGAAAGCGTTCCTTAGGCCTGATCTCAACCTTCTCACATCAGAGCATAAGGAAAAACTTTTTACATAAGGAAAGACTTCTTTACTGTAAGGGTGACAGAGCACTGGACCAGGCTGCCCAGAGAGGTTGTGGAGTCTCCTTCTCTGGAGACATTCAAAACCCACCTGGACGTGTTCCTGTGTGACTTGGTCTAGGTGATCCTGCTCTGGCAGGGGGGTTGGACTGGACGATCTTTCGAGGTTCCTTCCAACTCCTGAGATTCTGTGATTCTGTGAGAGCACATCAAAACCCCTTTGTCCCATTAAGTAGCTTTTCATGGAGAGAAGCATTCTCACCAGAAATATTTTCTGTTCAACTTACACCAAGATGTTTCTTTGCTATCTTTGCAAAAGCCCAAAGAATGACAGAGTGTATTGTGGAGCTGAGAAGAACTGAAAGAGTAATAGGGTTCACAAATCAAGGAGTATCATTTCTGTTTGTAATACAGCATTTTTGCCTCCTAAACTCTGCAACCTTTAGTGCTTAGACCAAGGTCTTGTTCACTTGCAGTAACTCAGCATGGATGATACTAATTGGTATCAATGCAGAGATCTTAATCATTTCATAGTCTCTGCATGTCTTCTTCGTAGGCTCATATTTATAATAGGGTTCACAAATCAAGGAGTATCATTTCTGTTTGTAATACAGCATTTTTGCCTCCTAAACTCTGCAACCTTTAGTGCTTAGACCAAGGTCTTGTTCACTTGCAGTAACTCAGCATGGATGATACTAATTGGTATCAATGCAGAGATCTTAATCATTTCATAGTCTCTGCATGTCTTCTTCGTAGGCTCATATTTACACTGAAGGCCAGTGCATTCTAGTTCCTTCCCAGCTTTTTCCAATTGTTTTATTGAAGGATTTCTGGCAGCAACCTATGTATTTCACAGATAGATACAATCTATTTGATTATATAACTCAATTTTGCAAGCTATACAGAGAAATGCCAGTCTCCAGAAAACCAGGCCTCTTGAATGGATGCAAGAATCCATTCAGTTACTGTTGAAGCATAATTGCTTCAAACAAAACCACTCCAGCCACAGGTACATTCTCCCTATCAATTATCTACCACAGGGGTCTAATAGGTTTGTTTCCTGTATGCCTCAATAATTCAATTTTCTCCAGCTTTCTTTTTTTCCCAGTGGGCATTTAGTTTTGTTAAGGATAGTGAAGATCAAGTACAAACTGCTCGCTCAGACCTGGTATCTAAAGAAGAGTGTAAGAACAGAACAAACATATATTGGATTTTTTTCCCGAAATTACTTTCTAGCCTACTGCAAATTGTAGCTCAGAGTTTTTGAGCTAGAAGTGGTTTTTGTTTTAACAGTTTTCACTAAATTTCTTCTTCATCTGCTTCGTTGCTTTTGGGATCCATATAAACTTTCAGATTTCCACTAGTCCTGTGGAGAGGAATCCCACAACCTAACAATTTGTTGTGCAGAGACATACTTAATTTTATTTGTTTTAATATGTATCCTAATCATTTTATTCAATGCCCTCTAGTTCTTTTATGAGAGGGAGAGAGGGAGAAAGAGAACAGTAATTCCCTGTTTTTCACAGTAATCCTAATTTTATGGATCTGATCTCTTCTCCACTTCGAAAGTCCACAATTTATGTGATTCTTAGGCACAATAAGAATACATGTAAACTGCCTGTTCCACCATGAAGCAGACAAAGAATTCAAGCTCGTTCTGATTCTAATGGAGATATTTTTCAGATTAAGGTGTCTTGCTGTGAAAAGCAAATTAAAGATTAATTTCATGTACCAGGGATCATTGCCAGTGCATTTTGCACCTCAGCCAATGCAATGCACATCATGACGCCACACAGATTAGGAACACTTTCACCTTTTGTACTTATTGTACTAAAATGTAGTATTTTGCAGACTGCTAGTAGTGGCTCATTAACAGCCCTCTAGTTAATTCTGAACTTACTAAGGCATAGGGCTGAGGAGTACTTCCATGCTTTTAATGAAGAATAGAAAAAATTTGAGAACAGAAGTATTATGAAGGATGAGTTTCCAGTGCTGTTGATTTTCTCACTTGTCACACTGATCATACCAGATTTTTACTTTACCTTTCTCTTTTCCCTACCATATATTTCCTTTCCACATGGAGAACACATGGGGACTTTTTGGCA